TTTATGGGACATTAGAAGCATGACCTCTTCATCTCTCATTCACTCCTTCCCCTCACCCTGTTACCTCACTCTCAGTACATGAAGATGAACTAGCATGTTCCACTAGTTCTGGTACTTGTTACAGCCTCTCTCTCAAATCCTCAAGCATAATAAAGGAATGGAGTCCTCATAGTGAAGAGTGCCGGAGTATCAGGTATTCTCCCAGTGGTGGTTGGGTATTATCTTCTTCATATGATGGTAGTGTAGTATTGAGTGATGCTGGCAGCTACCAGTGGTCAGTGGTTACTAGGTTCAGTAATAAAGTTATACAGTCAAGATGGGATACTACTGGCGACCTGTTTGCTTGCACTAGTGCTGATAAAACTGTCTCATTTTGGAAGAATAACAACAACAATTTATGATAATTATAAACTTATACTATTATCTACTGTTAGCATTGTACTTTTAATCATTAATTTGTAGTGGTCAATATATTCATGCATTCAATATATCCTAGATTAATTAATACATTCAATATTCATGACTTGTAACCATAATAATATACACACAGAGATCACAAGAAGAAGCTGAGTAGCTACCGTTCATTCATCTCTTTCTTTCATCTTTCTTCGTTCATCTCTATCGTTCAGAAAACATTTTATCAAACTATTTTAGTAGTGTGAGTGTATGTTACTATTTTGTTTGTTATCATTTGCTGTAACTTCTCTTTTCTCACTCTTTCTAAAACATTCCCATTCTTCCTTCATTTCCTCTTTCCTTTCTAACTCTCTCTCTCTTCTTTTATTATTTGGTTAAGAATATTCGTGATCCTCCTAATTCAGTCATACAATCACACTACAAATTATTTAATTAAACTAAAAGTACAAACTTATAATAACCAGTAACAAACTTAATAAACTACTAGCCTATTATTATATGTGTCACAAATGTAAAGGAGACCATCTTTATCAAATGTCACTCCAACATGAGGATCTTGAAACTGATCTTCATTAGCTCCTTTCTCTCCAAAACTATGAACAAACGCACCATCACTTGTGAAAATTGAGACACGATGATTGTCATATTCACTAACATACACTAAACCAGCATTATCTACTGCAATACCTGCTGGATGATAAAGCTGACCAGGACCAGATCCTTGTCCTTCATCAAACTTAGACAGGTACTTACCATCATGAGTGAATTTTTGAACACGATTATTATTCATATCAGTGACATACACTAAGCCTTCACTGTCAATAGCAATATTAGTAGGACTCTTAAACTCTCCATCACCTGTTCCTTCTTTACCAAATGAACGACAAAACATTAGATCAGGATTCAGTACTTGTACACGATGATTATGAGTATCAGCAATATAAATACGTTTCTTCAATGGTGAAACTGCAATACCATGAGGACTCTTAAACTGCAGTGGTCCAGTTCCATTACTACCAACTGAATCAATATACTGACCATCCATGCTTATCTTCTGTATCTTGTGATTGCCATGATCAGCAACAAGAATATATCCATCATCAGTAATGACTAGACCATGATTAGAAGAAAATGTAATATTATTAGATCCTTTACCAAACCATTTCAATTTCTTTCCTTCTTTACTCAGTATGCTAACAATGCTAGCACCACATTCTGATACTAAAATATGACCATCATCCCTTACAGCAACACCACGAGGACGATTAACATCATAAATTGTA